CGGTTTAAGGATAAACCGGTCAACACTTGGGCGGTTTAAGAAAATATTCGGACAACACTTGGGCGGTTTAAGGATAAACCGGTCAACACTTGGGCAGTTTAAGAAAATATCCGGACAACACTTGGGCGGTTTAAGGATAAATCGGTCAATACTTGGGCGGTTTAAGGAAATATTCGGACAACACTTGGGCGGTTTAAGGATAAACCGGTCAACACTTGGGCGGTTTAAGAAAATATCCGGTCACCTCTTAACCGGTTTAAGGATAACTCCGGACACTCCTTGTCCGGTTTTAAAGACTTAACCAAATATTTATGAAATGCAGTTCATAAATAGCAGATTATAGCAGTAAAAGAAATAATAACCAAGACTTTAAAGCAATATATATACACTCATCTTAAAGCCAAATGTCCTTGTTTTTGAATTTTTTCCTTCCTCAGCCAAATCCAGACGTCAAGTAAAAAATTTCCTCAATATCAAGAGTGTGTAAATTTTCTTTCTAAAACCTCATTTACTATTTATAGTAAATGGAATTGTGAGAGCTGACATTTAACCGACCTTCCTTCTCCTAACAAACTATATAATAAATTAAGTACACCCATACACACACACTCTTACACAAATATATATATATATATATATATATATATTCCAAAATCTCAAATTAAAACTTGTAACCCGAATATTACATAAGGCTACAAGTACGACTCGTTAAGTTTTATTATAAAACATAATTATGTAATTAATAATTTCTTATGATAATTAAACAATGTATAAAAGTGTCATTGTCACTGATTTAGGATAAATACAAATTTGCAGCCACTTGGGTATGAGGTGGTATCCAATATAACAAAAATAAAGGGTTTTTTAAATTCTAGTCGTTGGATCAAGAATTTTAATATGTTAAATTAAGGTTTTTATATGCTGTTTTTTTAAGTCAAAATTGAATATGTGGTCTAGAAATTTGATAGAAGGATTGTTTGGATGAACATAAGTTATCTTATATATTAATATTAATTATTTATAATTATTACTAGAAGGGTGTTCACATAATGCAACGAGATATATCTCAATTTTGTTGTTTTGTTTTATTCTGTTTTTGTCAATATAATACGGTTTTTAATTGTTTTGAGAAAGTGATAATATTTTTATATTTAAATAAAATATAAATTTAAAGATATCATAAAATTTAAAAAATATATATAT